TGCTGCTGCTGTTGCTGCTGCTGTTGCTGCTGTAGAAGCAACTGCTGTGCTTCAGCTTTGCGTTGGCACTGGAAAGAAAAAAAAAAAAAAACACAAGAAACTACTTTTTAGAAGAGTAACTATCAAAAAGTAAAATACAACTATTTTTGTTATAAGTTACTTTTCAAAAGTAAAATACAACACAAACATTGGCTTGTGGTAAAATAAAACTTCTCTATAATAGGATTTTACATGTAGTTGCATAGTACTTTTAGGCAAACTAGGAAAAAAAAATCCATTTTGCACAAAACAGAATAAATATCAAGTAATAGCAGTTGATTTTTTTTCCACTTTTGATATCTTTGCTAAGCATTGGTTGAAAATAGGGGATTGAACAAGGGAGAAGTGGTGTATGAACTGATCAAATGCAATCTTTTTTCCGTCTCACTGACAAGACTGCTTCACAATTGGAGAATGATATCAGTGCATAATTCCACTAAAATGACTATTATGGGCAGTAGGATGAATATTTGGCAGCTTGGTGTGCGTGAAAGGTTTGCAGGCTTTATGGCAATTATCTTGCCAAGTAAAATTGCCACTCATAGTTTCTAAACCGGCAAAGAAGATTTTTGTAGCTGAGGGGAACTATTTCATTCTGTATTTTATTTTACTCCATCGAGTAAAAAGGATAACTTTTTTTTTTTTTTAAGAATTAAACATAGTGGAAATTTTTTCTTTTGGAAATGAGGAGACAAAAATGTATTTCTAGAGGAGCTCTTGTGCAAGTGAGAGAGAAGATAAAATGAGAAAATCTGTTTTGGGTTTCTATGCAGCATTTTCAACAAGGCTAAAAGTCGAGAGAAATTAAATTTTATTTACCTCTTCTTTCTTTCTTTCTACCTCCTCTTCTTGTTGGATTTCAGCAAGTGAAACTGCTTGGGCAGCAGCAGAATTGTTCTTGGCCCAGTTGGCACCAGCAGGAAGCTAGTTGAAAAGAAATTGTTATTTCAGAGAGACAAATTAACACTTGAATTTCTTGAGACAGAAAAGTTACATTTTTAATACTTTCTTCTGAGAAAAAAGTGGGAGGGAGGTGAGAGAGGAAAAAAATCTTCCAGATCTTGTCAAAAGTTGAAGATAATAACCAACTGGCTGCCATTGGAAAAATTTCACATAAAAATCTGTCAATAGTCAAAACTGGATCCCAGGATAAGGACAAAGCTTACAACCCCCCGCCCAATCTCTGCTTTCTCTATAACAGGAATTACTGTCAACAATTTTTTTTTTTTTCAAATGTAAATGAATGCAGCAGTTTGCATGCATAGCAGAAAAAGGTATTTTATAATGCTTTATTTATCATGCAGAAATAGAAAAATTCTTTCATCTCAAGAGAAACTTTACTTGAATTTTGGCCAATTGTTCTTTCTGTTGTTGCTTGACTTTACGCAAAGCTTCTTGCTGCTGCTGCTGGCGGGCTTCTTGTTCTTGCTTTCGCTGCTGTTCCTGCTGTTTCCGCTGCTGTTCCTGCTGCTGCTGCTTACGTTGCTGTTCCTGCTGTTTCCGCTGCTGTTCCTGCTGCTGCTTCCGTTGCTGTTCCTGCTGGCGCTGCTGCTCCTGTTTGCGCAATTGATCTTGTTTTTCCAATTCTAGGAGCTGCTGTAGTTCCTGTTGCCGTTTCAATTCAAGTTGTCTCTCAGCCTCCTCTTGCTGCTGCTGGGAGCAAAAGGCAAGAAAAGAAAAATAAAAGTGAACCACATGAAAAAGTTCAGAAAATTTAAAACAGAAATAATTGTTAAAAAAATCCTATAATTCCATTGGAAGCAAATACTGCTGGCCTTTAGAATTTCTAATTCACATAAAAAAAATCAAGATGAACAGCAAAAACTATTTCAGGATATTAAGCAATAATTATTTCCACAGGAATCTTTTCTTTATTCATTTCTCAAAATTCATTCAATTATTTTCAGATGCAACTCAAAAACAAATGAAAAAGTCAGTTTGAAAGGAAGATGAGGAGGAAAAAAAAGGGGGTATTTCTTTTGTAGAAACTAAAAAGGGATTTGTATATATTTCTACCTGTTGTCTCTGATGTTCCAAAAGTCTTTGTTTTTCAAGTTCTTGTTCAAGTTTTAAAGCCTCCAATCTCAATTCCTCTTGAATTCTCAATTCCTTCTGTCGCCTCAATTCATCTTGCCTCCTCAGTTCCTCCTGCCGTCTCATTTCTTCTTGTTTCTTTAATTCTTCTTGCCGTCTCAATTCTTCCTGTCTGCGTAATTCTTCTTGCTGTCTCAATTCTTGCTGTCTTAATTCCTCCTGTCTGCGCAATTCTTCTTGCTGCCTCAATTTTTCCTGTCGGCGCAATTCTTCTTGCTGCCTCAATTCTTCCTGTCGGCGCAATTCTTCTTGCCGCCTCAATTCCTGTTTCTGTTTTTCTTCTGCCCTAATACGCTCTTCTTCAAGCCGCTGTCGTTCCTCCTCCTGTCTTCGAACTTCTTCAAGTTTCTGTAAAAGAAAATTTTAACTTTTTTCAACATCATTGCTGAAAACTTAAATTTTGCTTTACAGATTGCCAACTAGTTTACAGCAGTTTTTTCCCCAAAATATTTAGGAGTATTAATCAGAATTGATTTTTGCAATATACTCAAAATAATTTGATTCACATAACACCCATCCACTCTCTCTCAAAGATATAACTAAATCCTGCCCTCCCAATCACTACATCACTCAATAACACTTGAATCCATTTAAACTTTTAAGCAAATCCACTCTCAACAGAGTTCACAAGATAAAGTGTTTTCTTCGATTTCTGTTAAAAATAAGTTAAAATATGCTACATAGCCATAATATTTGTGTGCATTTGTGCTTCCTCCCTTAATATTAATTCTAATCTAAATGGAAAATGTCAACAAACGAACAATGTCAATAGTGTATGAAAATCAGAAAATTGGCAAAAAGGAGAATGTTGCTCAGCAGTAAATTACCTGCAATTCCAGTTTCTGCTTCATTTCTAATTCTTCTTTCTGTCTTCGAATTTCTTCTTTCTCTCGTTCAAATTCTTCCTTTTCTCGCCTCAATTGTTCCTCTTGTCGCCGTAGTTCCTCCTCCTTCCTCTCTTTCTCCTCCTGCTCTTTGCGCTCCATCTCTTCATGTTCCTAAAAACAATGGAGAGGGAAAAAAAAACAACATGATTTTCAATGAAATGCATACAAATGAAAGAAAGCAGGAATATTTTTTGTTTAATTGGTGGTGGGGGGAGTATATCTGTGATAACATTTTACCTGTTGTGTCCTCTATGCTCAAATGCTTGCCAATCAAGAATGAGGACAATAGTAATGATAACTCCTCTCAGGAATTCAAACCAGAAGTTTTGTTGTATAGCAAAATCAAGATCGTGGTTAAACTGTCCAAATTTTTTTCTTGTTTATTCTGTTTGTTTTTCAAGCCTTAGTCATTATAAAGACTTGAATATCATCAGTATAATAGATATATTTAATATGTATATAAAATAATACATAAAATATCTAATACATTCTTTTTTGATGCAGTCAAGCTCTGACACCATTCTATACATAGTATCACCATTACTTATATAAATATTTGAACTTTAATTGTAGTCAGGATGTAACCAACAAAATCTTGATGGTCATGCTGGCAATGTAGTTCTTGATAATGACTGAAACAATCAAAAGTAGAAGAAAAATATGAACGTGAGACTTTATAAGCTGGTCTCAAATTTAGAGTTGCTCTAGATTAGCTGAACTATCAAGGCCAAAGAGCCTACTTTGTTCTATTATTAAAGGGTGGGGGTATTGAAAGTTCTACTTCTAAATTGGCTGAAAGAGCCTCATCAACATTTATTTAATCCAAAGTTGGAAGAAGATGAATTTATGCATTTTACCTCACAGCTTGAAGTGAACAAAAGACTCTTATAATCTGGACTCGGCACACCTTTTCCTTTTCCACCTTAATAAACATGCTACTTGCACTTCCATATATGTTTTTGTTACTTAAAAAACTTACTAAAGTAAAAAGAAATCAATGATATAATAAAAAGGAGAATCACCAATGTCAAAAATTATAATTTCATCACAAGCAACAAATGAAAGAGGAAAAGTTAAAACATCTTCCACACACAAAAACAAACCAATTATTTTTTAGTAAGAAATATTTAGGTAGAGTAAGAAGAGTAAACAAACAACAATTTACCTGGACATTGATGACTTTCCCTGGAGGAAGTTCACTGGGAAGGGGTAAGCCTGCTGGAGGCCCAGAGGGAGCAAGATCCCAGACACTTGTTGGTTGTGACCAATTGTCTAAGAGAACAAGAAAAAACATACCATTATTACCTGGACACGATCAACTACAGAAACTCCAATTCTAAGATAAAATATGCATGCAGTACCTGTCTAAGTAGAGAACAATTGTGGTTCCTCAATTGCAACTGAAGAGGTGCAATTCGACTCTATTAACAGATCTTAGAAAAGAAAAAGATCAAAGTTTTTCAAATCTTAAATAACAAAAACTGGGGCTATTACAAAAAAAAAAAAAATCTTTTAAATTAAAAAAAAAAAAAAAAATTATTTGTTACTTTTGATTCTGATCAAAAAGTACATTTTCTCAAGTTCTCAAAATTACTTTTGAGAGCAAATATTTCTATTGGAATGGATAGAATTTTGATGAACTGTCACTGATCTTTTGGAGATTTTACATAATCAAAAAGTTCCTTAAAAAGATAAAATAAATAGAATATGTTAAAATGAAAATGATGAATGAAACTGAATGAGATGTCAATGTACACGCAGTTTTCAAGACCCCATTTCAATAATGGCCCATCAGCTTCCTCAGTGTCGTTAGCAAACTCTTTGAGGCTATAATGAACAAGTTGTTGAGCACCACAACAAAGACCTCTTGAGTAACAAACAATATGGACTTCGATCTGCTCAGTCCATTGCCGATATCCTGTTATTACTTACAGAATCAGTGAGACAATACCCTCATCATGATGAACAATGGTCGAATTTATTGTTTGTTTTTTTTTAATAAATTTTTCTTGAATTTGACAGCAAGTTTGTTTGTTGCTAAATGGATTGGAATCACTTTGAGGGATAAGCTTCTAGGGCAAAGTTCAAGTTTACTGTTATATTTTTTGATGTAATTTTATTTCTTTCAAGGACAAAATGTCATCTATACTGACATTTTTGAATATATATTATTTGTATTGTAAAAACATTATCTGATATTGGCAAAATTACCACATTCTATTAGAATGTATTTAACAGTATAGAGTGTTTGACAAGCTATGCATTCTGGTTGGTTTACTTGTTTAAGCAAAAAGGAGTGTGTTAGTTTTGTATGACCGATACAATCAGGATATAGTAACATAGTAAAACAGAGGGAGTCTGAGAAAATCATGAAATTTTTGTTGTTGCTCTCAGAGATTAGGTTGAGTGCCAAGACTATTGCATAGACATCTGCCCCGAAGAATGGAGGTTTCTTTTGGGAGACCTATTTTGACAATTTTCTTGTTTAGCACAGCTGCACATGCAGTTTTATCACTATCTTTGAATCAGTAAAAACATTAGTTATAATGCTCCATGATATTCTGGAGCTTTTCTTGATAAATAATAGGATGAGTGCTTGTTTAGGGAAGCTTACTTAGAACCAAGATTACCTCCTGTTGTCTAATAATTCGGGGGGTGAATAGATAGTATCATGTAAGTTGGTGAAAGGGATTAGAGATTCTTTGAAGGTGGGTTTTATACGGATACCAAAACATTTTATTGCTTTTCCTTTTTGTTCAAATAGCTGGGTATACTTTGGTTTGAAAGTGTAATCAGAAGTTGGATTGTATGGGCAGGATTTAAGTTTTACATAAAATTGTTTTTTGTTTCCAAGTTGTATGGGTGCTTCCTCTACATGTAAGGCTTCCACTGGAGAAGTTTTGAAGGCTCCTAAAACTAGTCTTAAGCCTTCATTTTGCATAAGGTCTAGCTCCTGGCTGATCTGTAAACAAAACTACCATAGTCTAGTAGTGAGCAAATTAGTGACCTATATAATTTTAGTAGGCTTTGCTGATCAATTCCCAATTCTGTGTGGGCCACTACTCATAAAGAACTGTAGTGCTTTGTTGCATTTTGATTTCAGGTGTGTTTATGTGATGGATGAAAGTCAGCTTTCTATCAAATATAACTCCAAAGAATTCATATTCGTCAACGACAGGTATTTTAGTTCCTTCTAGTTTAATGACTGGGTCATTGTGCATTTTCCTTATGCAGAAGTGCATACACTGGGTTTTTGATTTGGAGAATTTGAAATCTTTGTTTATTTCCCATTTATTAATCTTATTTACATTCAATCATAGCATATGCGTAGGTTTTTGGATCTGTAGCATAGCAAGCGATCATCAGCATACAGGGTGCTGTCTATTCCAGGATTTAAGCATTTAATGATACTGTTGATTTTTATACTTAAGAGGGTTACCACAAGGATGCTTCCTTGTGGGATCCTTTTTTCTTGGTTGTGGAGGTCAGAGAGGGTGGATCCAACATGAACCTTCAAGTCTGTCTGAAAGAAAGTTGGCTTAGGAAGCAGAGATGCAGGCAGCATAATCTGAAGCTCTGCCAACAGGACAGCTGCTTTATATTAATGATTTACTTAAGAGCATACTCTGATCTCTTGTAAATTTATATGCAGATGATACAATGGTATATGGGTGCATCTCCAAAACTCTAGACCAGAGATTGGCAGCTGATCTCTTCTCTGACCTACCTTGAACAGCTCAGTTGGGGAAAAAGTGGTTGGTTACATTCAATACCTCAAAAATCAAACTTGTAAAGTTTCACCATCATCAAGCATCTCCCCTGCCTTGATTGCCTATTTAGACTTAAGTGCACCCCCAGACCTTGGAAAAAATTTTCAAGGGCTTTATCCCAAATACTGCAAATGTAACTTTACTGTAACAGATACTTGCAAAGATTTTACAAGTGGGTGAATTTATACCAGATGCCTGTTGGAATGGGAATTAAACTCTTTTAACCTCTGAAAGTTAATGTGAAAAGTTTAGATTGCCTAGATCATGAATTGGATTTTTGCAGGGAGTCTGGTTTTTCTTGTGGGCTGTTGAAGAAGCTTTTAATTACAATTAAATCAATTTGTACCAAAGATTGAACTAATGGCTTTAATGAGTTATCAGGATCAGGTAAACACAAAATAAAAGGGGCACCCACCCCTCACCTCCAGTTGCCACCTGAATTCTGCCTTGATTATCCATGAAATAAAACAATTCTGGAGAATGAAAGCATCACAACTCTTTCCATGATCTTGTTACTATTCAAATATACAAATCAACTTGTAACTGAACACCTGAAAGAAATGCATTACTCATAAATACAGGGACCCACTAAAAGTAGCGGTACTGAGTAGGGCAGTAGTTGATACAAAATGTAGCTGAGTCATACAGTTGACACCATACCAAACCCACCTATCACTTGGGCTCTTACTTCATCACCCCACCTTGCAAGATACTACCCAATGAAAATTTGATCAATTGAATAAATATTCCTTTGCCTAAGCAGATTTTGTTTGCAAACTGACAATTGACTGGAAGCGTCAAAGGCCAAAGTTTGAATTATTGAACCAATTACTAGTCACCAGTCTGGAGCATATGTTGTTTTTGTTATCTACTGTGAATAAGGCCAACACTTATTAATTAGCCTTAGATTGCAGCAATGCAGAATTAAAAAGGATTAAACTTACAATTGTGATTGTTTCTACAATTGAGAGTCAGTTGACATTTCTGAAAATGGATTCCTTTATTTTTTCTTATAACTCACCCACTTTGCTCTTGAGGACGCTTCAACCAGTTTCCTCAAATCAAAGACTTAAACACAATATGGGTGGGGAAAATTGGCTGGTGTAGTGAGATTACTAGGCAGTGGCACTAGGATGAAAAAACCAAGAAGGTTTTTGTTATATTACAGGGAGATGTAAATAAAAATCTTTTAGAAAGAGTCAGTTGTAGCCTATCTTTTTCCATAAAGAAAAAAGTATGAAAAATGAAGTTACAAGATTACCTGGGTTGGCAGGATTGCCCCAAATTGATGTCTCTTCTGTATCTGTAGTTTCAGCTGGCTGAGAGAAAGAGCGATGGAATGGTGGCGGCTGGGTAGTTGGTTCTGGCTGGGGGGTACTAGACAAAGGGAGAGAAAAGAACTTAAGTTGCAAATGTTAAGACATTACAGTAGTAAGTTGGGGGTAATTTATATCAAACTTTCAGGTTTGAGATTTGAAAACATTGCCACAAAATAAATTTTAATTGGATCATGTCAATTCTACAATGCCAACAATACTGTTCCTTTATTGGCAGGGAAAAATATGAATATTGACTTATCCTTAGTGAATGCATTATAACTCGTACAGAACACAAGTTCAAAATATGTATATATCACAAGCTGATATTCCTGGGGCATTATTTTGATTCCAACCTTCCATACAGTAAAAAGAAAGAAATGGTCTGCTGCTTTCAGTATTAAGCAAAACCCATGCAATGGCACAAACAACAAGAGTAGGCAATTCTTTGCAAATAATGATTCTGCAAACATGATATTAGTAGCAACCACCAGCTGATACTTAGGTTTTTAAGAGAAACTGTTTACACTACATAAGAGGTATTGTGGAAATGGTGAATAAAATCTAGTTTGTAAAGCATCAGAATTAAGTATAAGTGGTCCCAGTCAATGTAGGAGAGCTGCCACAAAAAAAAAAAAAAAAGCAATGTGGATACTACTCGACAATTCACATAAAGAAAAAAAAATGTCTGTAGAAAACTATGATTGCCAATGTCAAATGGATATGATATTTAAAGAGAAAAAAATTCATGGAAAACTAAGATCTACTGTGACTTGTCATATATAGAAAGAGTGAAGCACACCAAACTTGAAAAAATTAAAATGTTTGAGAGAGAGAGGAAACAGCACCAGAAAATAGCAGCAATTTTGAACAACAAAACTAGAAAATTCACAATTCAGCTGAACTTTATCAAACTAAGCATCATTAGAACTGACAAAAGGTTGTGAGCAATCAGCAGTGAATTTATTCCATTACAATGAAAACTGGGGTTACAGAGTCAAACTACTAAAAGGCATTTTCAACCCAGTCTACACTGATAGCAAGCCATAAGTAACTGGTTCAGTGATTTTAAAGCATGTGTTATTTTTCACAACATCAAAAGCAATAACATCAAAAAAACAAAAAACATAAAAAAAACATAAAAAAAACATCAAAAAAACAAAAAACATCAAAAAAACAAAAAACATCAAAAAAACAAAAAACATCAAAAAAACAAAAAACATCAAAAAAACAAAAAACATCAAAAAAACAAAAAACATCAAAAAAACAAAAACATCAAAAAAACAAAAAACATAAAAAAAAACAAAAAACATAAAAAAAAACAAAAAAAAAAAAAAAAACAAAAAAAAAAAAAAAAAACAACAACAACACCACCACCTTCCTGTTTCTATTAATGCTTTTTATTATATACAGTTCCCATATATATTTTGGTAATTTTTTTTTTGTTTTAAAATCATTTCATCCCAAGCAATGTGATAATGTCATTAACATGCCAGGGGTTACTGAGTGAAAAAGACTTTAGTGAAACAATAAAAGAACAGAATTCAGAGGACAGAAGATGGTGATTGACACTGCATTTAAATTTCTGAAAATAATAGGTGGCAGGGAAGCAAGAAATCAGAAGTGTATTCCACAAGTGAGAAGTGCAAGAAAGAAACTATTAGAATAGAACTCATGGTTATATTAGTTATTTAAACAATAAAACCATGAAACTTAGTTGTCAATCTAAAATTCATGTTGTCAAGGTACAAAGAAGAGCTCATTTGAACAATTGCCATGAAAATATAGAAAAGACAGAATGAAGCCACATCACAGAATGAGAAAGAGACTGAAGTCAAGATGCCAAGTCAGGACTAATAACATTACAAATCCTTAAGATTTTCAACAAAATCTAAAGATATATAGCAATTGCACAAAACCAGATATACAAGGTTTTTTTTTGTCTGCCTCCTTTCTCTGTAGTGAACATTTGGTTTTATTTCTACAATTACATTTTTTGGTTACTGTTTTTGTACTGTTATTAGTATTTTGTTTTATGTTTTTTTTTTTCATCATCAATGCTATCCATGCAAATGTAACTATTTTGTTTCATTTGTGATTTATGAAAACGTTTGTCTATGTTTTAAATTTTTTCTATATTTGTATCAACATTCTTATTGTATGATAGATTAAAACCTATTTTTCTATTTCTATATTTTTTCTGGTTTTGCTATATATTCTAATTTTGTTTTGAATCTTATTTAATGCTGTTTCTTTTACTTCATTAAATTAAAACACTTAGCATCCTCCATAGTTTACCTTAAATATTCCTAAGGCTAACTGTGAAAGTTATGAGCATTCTTATATTTAAAAATTCTGTGAACCTAACATTTTTACTTGTTTATAAATACTTGTTGCAAAATAAAATCTTTATATTTTCCTTGATAAATTCCATCAGAAGATAAAACATTAGTAAAGAGAAGTTTTCCTTTAGTCATATATGTAAAAATTTCTCAGAATTAACCTGTAGAAAAAGACTATGTATAAAGGAAAAAGATAATAGGAAAACTGTAGTCTTAGCTGACACGTTTCATCCAATATGGACTTTTTCAAGACTAAAAACAAATTGAATTTATTGAAACAAAGTATTTTTAAATAACAAAAGGTCATTAGCAACTAAAAGAATTTAGAAACGCTATTGTATATTCATACAGTCAACTGAAAAATTACATGAATTACTTTATGTTTGAAGATAATATTTTCACATGTAGAAATATCATTTGCATTGTGTTGACAGATTCAACCATTTTCTTTTGATTTCTTGATATATTTGTTGTGTACATTGGGAGAGTAGTGATTCTGTTAGGAAAGGTGATATTGGGCAAAAAACAGGGTGTAGATTAATATTTGAATAATATTCAATGGTGGCACTCAAAGAATTTCCTTCTGAGTGAATTATTTTTTTTTTTTTTTCTTATGAGTGTAGCATTTATAAAATCAAAATTCTATAAAAAAGTAAATTCAACCACAAACTAGTTTTATTTGCTCTGACTTAACATTGAACTCTCAGGATTTCATCCTCCTTGGGATTATCCATATGGATTACCAAGATTATCGTTACTTACCCAAGTATATAATTGGTATATACGGAATGAATTCCAATAACCAACAATTACTATTCTTAAGAGTGCTCAATACAAAGTAGAGCAGATATAATTATTATTTATAAAAAAATTATAACAAATATGTTATAAAATCACTACAAAAATAGCCATTTTGTTTCAACACCCTCGGTGTCTTATCAAGTGATGATGTTGAAGATAAAATAAATGGTTTTAAAAGTTTCAAATTAATTAACGATCCTACACTGGGGGAAACATTGTATATATATATATATATATATATATATATATATATATATATATATATATATATATTGTATTGTCAAATGACCGGATATTGTAGCGTTTTGTCGAACGTAATTTCAATGAAGAAATAAATTGAATAACATATGTATTTTTTCTTTTCTCAATAATTTTATAGTTATTAAACTTAATAGTGATTAAATTTGGATTTTAAAATTGGCAGTTTTTATTTTTAATATTAAATTTTATCATAATTTTATAATTATTGGTTAGTATGAATTATTTTTAATATTACCCGTATTTTAAAGATCTGAATAGCTATTATAACATGATTTCGTTGTCAAGCTTTTGAATCTTTCTATACTTGATTTTGATTGGTTATTCTAGTTTTGTAACAATGTTTCCCCCTAGTGTATGATCGTTAATTAATTTGAAACTTTTAAAACCATTTATTTTATCTTCAACATCACTTCATAAGACACCGAGGGTGTTGAAACAAAATGGCTATTTTTGTAGTGATTTTATAACATATTTATGTTATAATATTTTAATAAATAATAATTTATATATATATATATATATATATATAGTGTGTTCATGCGTACATATACCTAATCAGAAGGGAACAATGTGAAGAGGAAAAGAAATGGATTGATGAAAGTCAAAATAGCAAATTATTTAACACCAACATAATCTGTTGATTAAATGAAGCAGCAGCACACATACCAAAGTCAAATAGGTCAATCAGCAAGCCATTTCAATGCTAGAGTGATTTTGCAAATGCAATTATTTCCTGCATAAACACAAGATTTTTATTTATACAATTAATCCTCAAGAGAAAGTATTCAGTCTTAAATCATTAAGTGACAAAGATATCCAAAGAAAACTAACAAAACAAATAAAAAGCAATGTATTGGCAACCTGATCTCCTTTATCTAAAAATTGTTATTCACTTATTGTTATCAAGTATTACACCCTGTTATAACAAAATATCTCATTAGTAAATAAGGGAGATCAAGCTGGGTGGCAGATTTATGTTGAATAGATTCCAACCTTACAGTGACAGGTGAGATAAAACGTTTATCAATTTTGTAGCAGCATTTCAAAACTAAGTGAGCATTTTGTCAATATGTAAAATCAACTGAGTTTTACCCAAAGATCAAAAGTTGGAACAATATTTGAGAAAGAAAAACATTTCAGACATTGATTATAACCCAGATTCTAAAAACTTTTCTAAGTTCCAGTGGGAATTTAATTTTTAAGCCATTTCATATAAGACGAATTTAAATCTTAGGTCCACAAAATCTTGGGAAACCAAAATAGGATCTCCAAGAGTGAACTATGATCTTAGATGAGAAGTTCAAAATATTTGCAAAGAGACTTGATTGGAGATCAGTCAGGCAAGTATTAAGGAAGCTTTAGGACTTCATCTAAGTGCTTCAGCTTTGTTAAAGTAACTTTAAAATATATAGCTATAATGCTATAAAATAATAGAATTATGTGTCTACGCATAACCACATAAAAAATATGGATTTCTGAATAATTTAAAACTTGAAGTTTTATAATAGACAGGACAGTTAAAAATTAAAATATTGATAGTTTTTAGATAACCTGTGTCTTTAGAGGAGACCCATTTGGTCAAGAAAATTCATAATCAGTTGTTCAGATTCAAATTAAGTAAATTGTTATTCATTTCCAAAAACAATTTTCGCCTACCACCCCCTTTTGGCAAGGACACCCTCTCAACTTCCCCTTTGAGTGAAAACAATCCCCTACACATGCACAAATGCTGGATAAAACATCAAAATAAATTTGTCTATGCCTCACAAATCACGAATGAAGATTTTAGAGTCATCCATTGTCATCTGATATATAGCTTCAATTGATTATATTTCTAGTATTTTGAGTTTTTCATTGAAGATGTACAACAAATATATTATACAAGATATAACGGAACAATTATTTTCACTTTTGAAGATCTTGATTCTAAAAAGTAACATATTCATTAGGAAAGGGTGACAATGAAATGCAGAAAATCTTGATTCAAAGATTACAAATAGGAAAATAGAAATGCTTTGTAAGTCATCCGTTTAAATGATACACCATTCATCCAAGGATTTTAAGAGCTGCTTACCCTGGTGGTTGCTGGGAAGGTTGTTGGGGCAGGTGTGGAGGTTGCTGACCAGGTAAAAGGATTGGTTGTGGCTTTAGCATTTGCATCAACACCTGTTGATCTTGAAGTGAAATAATTTTGTTGGCAATGGTAGGGTCATTAAGATCCAGATGCTGTAATGGAGGTGGAGGAACAGGTTGTTGTTGCTGTTGCTGCTGCTGCATCTGTTGAACCATTTGCAGTTGCAGATGTCTGAAAAACAATATGGCAATTTATAAACAACATTTCACCTGGGTAATAAGGACAAGAAATGAAATATTGCAGTTAAGAGAAAAGAAAATGGTACACAAGTTTTAAAATTTCTTTCACAAAGAAATTGTCATGTATATATATATATATATATATATATATATATATATATATATATATATATAAAAGAAGTCATTTGTATTAAGCAGAATTTTATTTTTCATTTTCACTGAGTAATCGGATTTAATTTTTTTTCTTTTTACTGCATCTCCCCACAATGAGTATTTATAGAGTAGCCAAAAGTTAAAGATTGCATGAAGAAAAATCTTTCAGGGAGCAAAATGGAACAGAGTCATTACTTACCTTATCCACTGTTGTTGGAACAGATGCAGGTGCTGTTGCTGCTGCTGCAGCATGAAATGATGCAGAAGGGCCATTTGATCCTGAGGTGAAACTGCAGTTTGTCCAGGTGGCTGAGTAGGAACCTGAGGTGTTGGAGGAGCCATGCTGGCTAATGTGGGCAATATAGGGGTTTGGCTAGGAACACCTGCAGTGGAGGAGATCCCACTTGTAACTACTGGAAGTGATGGAGCAGGTGACGGAGACGATAATGAGACGGAGACTCCTGCATCTGCCTGTAAGTCCAATTCAGAGTTTGGGCTTACACTGCTGACTGGATTAAGCTGAAAAATAATGTCAGCATTTTGCAAATTTCTCTTCCAGAAAAGCAGAAAGAACTACACAAAGGAATTTCATACCAATTCAGATTTACCAACTTTAAAAGTTTAATTTTAGATACAAAAACACAAGTTAAACAAAAATCTAAATTCTTTCTAACTTAAAATGTGAAGTTGCAATGAAATGATTTAACAAAAATAGAAAAGCTTAAAAACTTACTTTAAAAGGTGGGATTGGAGGCCCAGAAAGAAATGGCACCCTTCCACATCTTTTGATCAGATCACCTTAAGAGAGAATAAATAAAATATTTGTACATATTTCAATTTTTAATATTTATAAATTTCTAGTTGCAAAAATGCTTATAAAATAAAGTCTATTGTAATTTAGTTATTTGGTGATCAAACCTGGAATATTAGCATATTGCTCCAGTTTCAAAGAAAATGAAAGTATATTTCCCTTATCTAGGAAGGAAATTGTTAAGAGAAAATTCAGTTGATCTCACCTAAAGGTTGATAATAATCATCACAGCCTCTTTTAACCATGAGCTTCATAGCAAAATAACCAACTGAGAACCATTCTGACATTTCTTCAGCAGAAAATGGTCCTGAAAAAAAAAAAAAAAAAAAAAATCAATTGCTGATTATGTATATTACTTACATTATTCAGACTATTGCCCTCATCGTTGTCACCATATTTATTACAACGTTACAGCTGTTGTATGCTCTGGCCTTCTTCAGGTGGTTGGAATGTTGAACTGAAACCTTTATTTCACTCATTCTAGTTTCACATGCCATGTTTAATGGATGTCAGTTATTCACTGCCTTAGCCAGGTATTGAACTCACACTCCTATCACTGGATCTAACTAACGCCTTTATCCACTGTGCCATGTGTCCTTGTGGACATCTGTGTATGAATTTCTGGGTATTATAAACCTAATGTTTTCAGCAACTTTACCAGTGCTCATATTGCAATTTTTGCTGTTATCATTGCATGTTTTTACCAGAGCTCATATTGTAATTTTTGTTATCAATTTTCTCCAGCACTCCTTATTACTGGTTCCCATATTGTATTCATTTCTACGCTTGGTTAGCTCAGGAGATTTTTGTGGCTCAGCATGTGTTGATTCCTTAAGTTTATGAATTTTCCAATGGTGTTCTTTGTCTATGATCTCAACCTGATCCCACAGAGGGCGGCGATCTCCCTTCTCTTTCCATATGTGGTCAGCCATGACAGGTCCCCCCCCCATGTTAAAGCTTTCTGGTGTTCTTGAAGAATTACCTTAAGGGGGCGGCCTGTCTCCCCTTTATATTTCTTTCTGCAGCTGCACGGGATAGTGTACACACAGTCTTTAGTTATGTTCTCCTCTATGGGGGGAGGGGGTCTTACTCGGGAGAGATATCTGCGAAGTGTCGTCAAGCTTTTGAAGGTTGTCCTGATGTTATACCGACTGTAGATCCTTTGTATTTTCTGATAACCCCTTCACATAAGGCAGGGGCTGTCCTTCTCTTGTACCCGATAGCTCGACATTCCAACCACCTGAAGAAGGCCGGAGTGTACAACAGCCGAAACGTTGTAATAAATATGGTGACAAAGATGAGGGCAATAGTCTGAATAATGTAAATGATATACATAATACCTTATCTCAGAAATAGATATTGCTGATTATGTGTTTATATATAAGTATAATATTCTTGTATTATTTCTAACTATTGTTCTCATCTTGGTTAATATGTTATTATAGACATTGTTTCAACCAAGTACTTTCTGGTCATCATCAGATGTCCACTGATTGGCTGATATGAGGTATCTGTTGATTGTAATATTTTGTCTGTGATATCAGTTATTGTTCATTCCTGCTGAATTGGTACATCACTACCAGATCCATGGATTGAACTCATGATTAACAGCATAGGACTATATTAATACCTAGTAAAGAAAATCAGTTTATTTCAGCATTTTGGTTGTAAAAATGCATAAATAAGGATTTTTAAAAATCCTATATATATATATATATATATATATATATATATATATATATATATATTTCATTATATGTTATTTATAACTGAACACAAATATTTAAGTAAATGCTCCGTTTATAATAAACAGTATTAACAACATTTACTGGATTGAATGTTCGAGAAATTTCATAGAAAATATGCTAGTTTAGCTACAAAGGAAGTATCTGGTTAGCAAGGTTGAATTACTACTTTTAAACTACAAACTTACCCTTACTTGTCTAGGAATGGAAAAGTATATATAATGCAACTCTGAATTGTTTTTTTGCATGAATTTTAACCAGTCCAGAGAAAAGGTTACTTGCATATAGTGCAACCACCTATTTTTTGTATTAAAAATTATACTCTAGTATAAACAGTAATTTTTATTTTTAACATTCTTTTACTGTATCAAGTTTTTAAAAAATAAATTGATCAGGACTTTTCACAGATGGAAAATGTACATACCTTGCTGGTCTCCCTGAGGGTCTCTGTAATACCATTCATCTTCAGGCGCTTTCACTGGACTATCTGATATTTTCTTTGGTTCTTCATCCTAAAATAAAAACAGTGAAAAAAAATAAACTCATTCCAAATTAAAATTTTGAAGCAAAAACTATTGTAGACTCTTCCCTCAAATCTCACAAATTGCTAGTAGTGTTTGTAGCAAAATAAAATAAATTACTCCCCTTCTCTGCCAATATAAAAAAAAAAAAAAAAAAAAAAAAAAAATCAAGGTAACCAATATTAAATGGAATAAAAAAGTCTACTCCATAAATACAACAAATTTTAATCATCTATGACATTGAACTGATAGTTAATAATGATACAATCCAAGGAGTTTTGATAATCTCAATCATATTGAGAAACTTGAAAATTGTCCGAGAAAAGTTGAGATCAAATTTAAACAGTAACAAACCAATAGAATTTATTGACATTGGATTAGCAATTCTTCTTAGAATAAACAATAGAGAGCTACTTACTTCTTCTGTGACATCAGCAACAATATTTTCTGCCGTTTTCTTGAGCCTGTCCAGGGTATCTTCATCTGAAATAGCACCAGAATTATTGTTGTTGTTGCTGTTGTCATCACCATCTGTTGAGAGGACCTCTCTGTGAGGTGAGGATAAAAGTGATTCTGAGGTCATCATCGGACAGTTTGGGGCCAGGTTGGGAGGTACACTGGCCACAGTTTCTTTCTCCTGCCTGCAAATTGGAGGCTCAGGTGGGGAACATGAACTGACCTGGCCAACAGGATGGACCACTTTATGAGGGGACTTCTGTACACTATTTACAACTGGACTCGTTCGCAACTGCTTTACTTCCACTGCCCTTTGTTCTTCATCTTCCCCAAGTTCATTTGCTGTTTGTCCATATGGAGGACCTTCTTGGTGGGCACTGTCTCCTTCACTCTACAAGTAGAAAGTATTAAATGGTGACAGTTGAATTGGTGAAATAGCCAAGTCCAACAAGTCACATTTTCTATCTCAGCGAAATCAACGCAATGAAGAGGCTTACATGAATGAGGATAGAGTTAAAAAAGAAATCAAGTTACGGCACCAAAGATTTAAAGACCTAAACAGAAAAGAGTTAAAAATGCAATGCTTACTGTTTTTGATTCTATCTGTTCCTTTTCATCAACCACTTCTTCCCAATTTTCATCAAGATTAGGTGCAATTTCTTTTTTCTCTCTCCCGTGATGCCTCAGTTGGCCAGATTTCATTGGTTCCTATGTAATAGAAAATGAGGAGAGAGAGTCACAGAAATCTTAAAAAGCCTGGGTTTTAAATCATTTTTTTAAGCAAACTAAGTGGCCACAATCAGCATTTCGCACATCAAATTCACCAGCATTGACATATTTCTTCAAGCTTAACGATCACCTCCTGCCATAATAGCTACAGTAACTCTTGCAAAAGCATGAAAAGTATAATGAAATATCTTCTGATCATTTAAAATTAGTTATTTACATACACATGCTGACTTATAGATGAAACCTCATGACGCATGAAAAAGTGTAAACAAATTATCTACAAATTGTTTTTACCTTGTTGGAAACAAATATCCCATTGGAATCAAAAGTTCCTGTTTCATTATAATCATCTTCATTGCTGACACTCCATTCAGGCATGTCTGAAAGAAAGGCCATAATTTTATTAAAAAAAGATAAAATATTGTTTAAGAAAAAAATAAAAACAAAGCCAAATGTTCCAATTTTGAGGTTTTGAAAATTATACAAATCATGGAATTTTCAGTTTTCTCATATGAACAGAAAAAGTATTAAACATTTTCCTTATGTCATTTGATGAAAGTAATTTTTGTTCTGTCAAGAAGTAAATGAAACAAAACTGCTAACCTCCTTCTTCCCACATTTCTGTACTTCGGCTGCGCTGAAAGCTTCTTTGTCTGTCACGGTCTCTGTCAAAAGTATGTTGTCGGTCTTTGAAGAAGACATTGCCTGTTGAGCTTTTACTGCGATCGCTCTCCAAGAGCCTCCACCTCTGATGACCTGAAATTTTAAAGAAAAAAAGAAACAATCCCTATTGTTTACAATTGAGGGAGGGAGAGAGAGTTGAAAGAGATCCAGTCATCTGTTGATGCCAGCTGTCAAAGAAACATTGACGAAGCTTGAGAGAGGGGGAAGAGAGAGAGAGAGAACACAAGTGATTGAGTGAAGGATAAGAATAATTAGATCTTTACAAAGACAGATGGACAATTCTGAATGTCAGGCTTTATATAATCAAAAAAAAAAAAAACCTTGGTTATTTAGTAGACCATACAAGAAGAATGATTACTTTGGATTTTATACCTTTTCTATTTAATATCCAATTTTTTAATATGATCTGAATCAAAAAGTTCAGAAAAATTTGGGAATTAAGACACCCTAATCTTTGTTTTCAGTATAAAATTTTTCAAGATAAGCACTTGATAATTTCCAAAATGATGATGATACTTCATTAAAAAACATTTGATTTTTAATGATTAACAAACAATTATTCATCAATCAGATAAAAAGGTATAACCTCTGCTGAACATGCCAGAAATCAAATCAAAATTGAAAAGAAGTTAAGCTGATAATTTTACCTCATCAAAACTTAAAGTTATTAAGAGACAGATAAGAGGTGTGGGGGGGAGATACTTGAAAAATTCTGATTTGAGTCACTATTGTCCTTTGAGAAGTTTATTGTTGCTTCCCAGTCTGTGAGCTACTCACAGCTTTAACAGATTTTTGTTCATTTAATCCCAAAAGGTGTTCAGCTGTCACACTGTAACAATGCAAAAAGCCAAGGCTTTTTATTCATTTCTCTAAAAAGATGACAGTGAATGAAAATACTGTTGCCTTCAAATTTATTGCCAAAGGCTTACAAAAGAAAAAAAGTTGGCATTGTCTTGAGTTTTGTTTGTTTGTTTTTTTTTTTAATAATGGACTGAGCAAAAGCTTTGAAACTGTTTCATATACTAGTAAAAAATGAATAATATTTGTAATGAAATTTTCTTTTAAGAAAGTGTAGAACAAGACAGAGCAGCAGTTGAAATATAGAAACAAGCAATCTTTAAAGAATTAGTATGCATTTAAGATATATACTACATAAAAGGATTTTTTGCTTGCAAGTCACGGCATAAAATAAAAGCTTCAAGATTTTTCATTTTTTTTTTAATTCATTTTAAACGATAGGTATCATGAATCTATGGAGGTACCTATTTTTAACATTTATAAAAACTCAATGAAAAATCTAAACTATTATTGAGCCAAATATTTTTGCTAAAAATTAAATTTTGGCTTATATTGGAAAATGTTTAGAGCCAAATGAAGTTGCAGTCAAGCAGTTCTAATTGCATACCAATTATTTAACTTCAAGATAAAGCTACATTGAAAGCAAATTAATAAGTGAAACCAAAAAAAAAAAATGACAATGTTTGCCAATGGATTTACAATGCTCCAAATTATTTTAAGGATTTGAATGAATTTTGAAATCAAGTGTTAATTTATAAAGTTTCCACTTATATAAGTAAATAGATCTTATAGAACAAAAATTCTTGAGGATCCAGTTTTTAATCACTTTACATTGGCCTAACCTTTATTTTGAACAACTTACCCCAACGTGGCCCCATCTTCCTCCAATCTCCTTCGTCGTCGTCTTCGGTAACCAAAGGCATGACTGATTATTGTAACAATGAGAAAGATGATATTGGAATTGAAGTGACAATGAAAATGAGAGCTGAAGGGTGAATGACTACAGCATTAACTTCTGACATTCCTTAAGGACAGCAGAGGCAGCAGCAAGTTGCAAAAATAAAGACACAAGAAACATGCCACATAGATAAATATGCAACCCATTAGATTCCATGTCCTTTCAATAAGTGGACATGGTAACTACATGCTGTTGCTCAAGCAGAAGAAAAAGGTTTTGTCATTCTCAATGTCTAATCAATCATTTAACAGAACATCCAACATTCAAAATATTTTTAACTTTTCTTTTTCAGTGACGTTGATTAAAAGAACCAAATATCTTACTGAAAGTCACAAGCTGATAATAAATGGAACTGGATTTTGTTTCAAACAGTTTTAAGATAGGTAAAGTAATTTAATTTTTTTAAAATAAAATTGTAAATTAAAAAGAACAATTTGCATGTCTATAGATTTACTTCAAATTATTTGTCCTTATTCTCTGGGGATCAGCAATCATAAGTTCAAAGTTATTTAATTCAATTTTTAAGTCACCAAATTTTTAGTTCTTAATAGAACAGTGACTAATCAGTGGTCAAGAAACCAAAGAAAAAAAGCTGTCAACTGATTATTAAAATTGAATAGCTTGATTCTGATTCATATAATTTAGAAAATATAAAGATAGGTTTGCTTTAACTCGAAATCTAATTTCTTTTAGAAAATCTGAAATAATTCAGCAAAGATCTGCAGTTAGTACTAAAAAAGTCAAACATGTTTTTTTATTCACGGATTATGGAATTTAGAAACACTGCTTAATTAGCTCTGAAGATAATAATTTGAGTCAATGGAAGGAAAAGTTTTTTTTGGTAGGGAAAATTCTTTGGCACTAAGGTAAAATGATCTGCACATTAAAAAAAAAAAAAAAAAAAAAAAAAAATACTTTTTTGATTAGATATCTCTCTCAGTACAGCATTTGTCAATAAAAAATATTGCGCTATCATTTCCGAAAATGGACCCTGTTCACAATATAAACAAAGTATCAAATCAATCACAGCACTTTTTTTTTTTATTTTTACCTTGTTTTTGTGTCCAAATGTCAGATTTTAAACTGGGCCACATCACTTATAACTGCAGACTACTGATATTGCCTCCCCCCACTTCCAATTAAGATGTTTTTTAAAATAAATTTTTTTTTTGCAAAGCAGATTAATATATTTTCCTTTTTGTCTTTATTATGGAGGTAATTGCACAAACATAGGGAGATAAAAATGATTTATCTTAAATGCTAAACTGTATCCTACAACTTTAAAAAAAGATTTTCATGTATATTCCAAGTTAAAAAAAAAAAAAAAAAAAAAAAAAAAAAAAAAAAAAAAAAAAAGGTTTCATCATAACATTCAAAATTGAAAGAGGAATATCTCTAAATGTTAGGCTTCATTTAAGATGAATAATAAAGCCAAAAGAAAAATCCATGAATCTGTTCTTCAAAAACTTATTTAAAAGTTTATTTAACTGGGAAAAGAGGCAACATCAGTCTTATGCAGTTTCCAATAATGTGGACCCAGTTTCAAGTATTGACATTCATAAAAAGAAACAAGTAAAGAACTATAAAAAAGAAAAAAAAAAAAAAAATTGATTCGATACTATATTTATAGGACCACCCTCCTAAAGTGATCAACAAAAAACAAACAGTATTTTTCAATTCTGACAAATGTCATGCTTATAGAAAGGTCTAATGAATGCTAATCAACAGAAATTAGTTATGAAAAAAATGTTCATTTAAAAAAAAAAAAAAAAAAAAACAGATCACTTTCCACCTGGGTGGTGCAAATTCTTCTAAACATCTTATATCTCCTTAAAGGCAAAATTAGCTCAAGTCATCAAATTTCATTCAATTTACTTGGTATGGAAGAACATGAATATACTTGCAATTGAGATTTTCTTTTAAATTTCATATTCTATCTGCTGGTTATTGCAATTTTTTCTGACAAAAATAAAACTGTGATTGTACATTAAATGTACAATCACAGTTTTATTTTTGTCAGAAAAAAATTGCAATAAACAAATCTACAAGTTGAAGATTTAATAGTAACCAGATTAAAAATTCCATATTTAAAATAATGAGTTTCATATTTTAGTTTCATATGCTGTCAGTAACTACATCTTTCTAAGATTTTTTTTTAACTTCAGATTAAATTTTTATCAGAAGTTATTTCAATTCACAACTTAATTTCAAGTTTCTGCATTAAGGAGTCAGATAAAATTATAGATAAGTAAAACATAAAAGCCCCATAGAGGGACTGTTACTGGTAAATAATTACTATTAAAACTTAATAGTTACAAAGAAATTATTTTGTATCAAGCTTTGTATGAAATTCTCACTAAATTACTTTGTATTAAAATGAATTGTTATCATAATATCTTACAGGTTTTTAGTTACAATGTATGGGGGTGAAATTAGATAGTGCGTAAGGTAGAGAAGTGCCTGAATTTCTCTTACCAAACATGACAAGACAAATTTATTTTAATAAAGAGAATTGCAGTTCAATAAATTTGGAAAGATCTGGTTTATAGGACATAAATTTATGGAGTTTACATTCATTCATTTTATATATATATAGCTATGGGCTCTCCTTTGGGTCCCGCTATGGCCAACATTTTTGTCGGCTTTTATGAGTCGTCTCTCCTCACTCACGACAATGCACCGTCTATGTATCAGCGATATGTGGACGATACATTTTGTCTTTTTAATAGTGAAGTGGAAGCTGATTCTTTTCTTACAGTTATGAATCAAATTCATCCGTCCCTAAAATTCACCATTGAAAAGGAGTCCAATTCGTGTCTCTCTTTTCTTGATGTACTTGTGCATCGGACCCCTTCACAATTTGTTACATCAGTGTTTCGAAGCCAACGTTTTCAGGTCTTTATACGGCGTTGGGACTCATTTTGTCCCATGAAACGCAAAAATCAATCTGATCAAGACCCTAACTCATAGGGCCTTGATGATTTGCAGCGACAAATTTTGGATGAGAATTTAATTTTATCCGCCATTCTATTACGTAATGGATATCCTAATGATATTCTTCATGTGGTTATCGTGATAAAATTAATAATTTTTCGAAAAAAGAAAAAACAATACAGTGTTCAGAAATGCCCTGTTTATCTCGACTTCCATTCATTGGTTCTCGAGGTGAGCTTTTGGCTAAAGCGTATTTTGTCAGCCGTCCATGACCGTTTTTCTCAGCTCAATTAATTATTCATTTTTGCGACCCGTTCTGCCTTTTTCCCTCTATGCAAGGATCCTCTTCCCCCCATCATGTTTCTTCTGTGATTTATTTATTTAAATGTGGTTGCGGTTCCAACTACATAGGAAGGACATCCCAGTGTCTAGATTGTAGGATCAGGCAGCATGTCCCATTCTGAGTCCTCAATCCGAAGCTCCTAGGAGTCAGTTGGTTAACACTTCGGTTCAGCGATTACTGAACACCTAATAAATTGCAGGGATTGTGCGAAGAACTTCAGTCTGAACTGGTTCACTGTTCTATCTAGTTTGCACTCTCTTTTCCATTTGAAGGCACTTGAGTCTCTATATATTCGGTCCAGGAGCCATCTTTGTGTAAGCAAAGATTGTCTCCTTGGCCTTCACGTCATTATTCTCTAGTGTTTCAAATTTTCCCTCACACTCCGTTATATATACATATATAAGTTTTTTTTCCCCCCCTTCTCTCGTTTATTGTGTATATTTGCACAGCTTAAAAGAAAACAGGCAGAATATATATATATATATATGTGTATAAGTTAAAGAAAGAGGAAGAAAAGAAAAATTATTCCCCCCCCCCCTCCATACCATTAATCTTTCATTTTTAAATTTTAATTGTATGTAGGTTGTTTGTGTGACTTATTTATTCTGCAATTTTGAAAAATAGTTCCCAGTTGACCCTGATGAGCTTGGGAATGAAACCGGTTGGTCTGTTTGTTTGTGAGAGTTATCATCTCTTATTTCTTATGTTATTTTCATAATGCCTTTGAGAAACAATCCATATTATTTTTTCCTTGCAATATTACAGTTTTGCACCTCAATAATTTATTTTATATATATATATATAATATATATTATATATATATATATATATATATATATATATAGGTGCAGAGAATCAAGTGGCAAGTTATTGGATTTGCAAACAAAAATGTAAGTTGGAAAGGTATCAAATTTATAGTAAGTGGTTATTAGTTAAACAACAAAGCAAGTTTTTTTTTGGGGGGAGAGAGAGAAAATATTAAAAAAAAAGAAAAAATATTCAAACTTCTCCAAAATAACTTATCTTACTAAAATTTGGAAAACAAAACTCATTTTTACCCTCAAAATACAAAACCATCTAAATTGTTATACTTAATGTAAAAATTCAATAGATCAACATTATTAAAATACTTCAGTATAAAATATTATTTTGAAAGTATTCAGCAGGATTAGCTTCTATTTACAGTATAACTGATTTCGGACAGATTTAAAAAATCTCTTGTCTTCAAAGGACAAAACTGGTAATGGGGCTAGAGCTCTAACAGAGAAGTGAAATCTTTTCTAAAACTCACTTCTTGGTTATTAAAATGATAAAACATTTTTACTATTTTTCTATTTTCACTTCAACCATAAGGCATTATTCTCAGTTTTTCATTTGGAAACCAAATTATAGTATTTTATGAGAAAAATAGAATACACAAACAAGTGGATAGAAAACACATGTCAAAAACAGCAACCTCTGCATAACCAATGACTAGAGATAATACAGCTTGACATGTGACATGGTTCATGGACTTAACGAGTTTTCTTCAATTATGACACCTTGAGCAACATTATAAATTCTCTATATAACAAATGAATTACAATGTATAAAAATGTTTACAGGTTCATTGGGGGAGCCAAATTTCAGTTAACACTGATATATGGGCGGAATTGGTGAAATAAAACCAAAGTTAATTTTACAAATTGAAATATTTTGTTTATGGAACAAGCATGAGACTAAGAAGGAACAAAAGATTCCTAACACAAACTGTACCGAGTCAAAAAGATATACAGAGAGAAAAAAAAAAAAAAAAATGAATGGTAAATATAAGCAGTTATTTACTTACCCCATCTTTCTCGAGAACCGGCTTTTCTCCAATCTCCTTCATCATCATCATCTGCTGATTTTTTATCCCGCCAGTTCTCATTACTAAATGAACGGGAATATTCTTTGCTAGGATGGGCCCCATCTTCAAAGCTCCGAGCAGAAAAACTTCTTTCATATCGCCTACTAAAGAAATAAAAATATGGAAGTAGACAATACTTTTGATTATAACTGGACATAAAACATTGCAACAGAATTGTTTTCTTTATCAAGATATTTTTTAGAATTAAAAATATTATGGCAAACAATAAGACAATTATCAACAAGACATATTTTCCCCAAGAAATTCACCACACAATCAGTTCCCCAATCCACTCCCAGGTGCCAATCTCATTTGAAGACAGCAAAAGTAACTTGCCTTTCTTCCCAATTTTCTCGACTTCGGTTCCGAGTGAAACTGCTAGTCTCGCCGTCATCATATGATGGCCGTTGACCAAAACCTTCTGCACGACCTCTACCTGAAGCATGAGAAAGATATTTGCAACAAAGATTTATTATTGTCTTTAAAACAAAATTGCATTAAAAAAAAAGAGATAGAAAAAGAAAAGCAAGAGAGAGACAACTGAGAACTTTTCAAAGAATTTGTCACAATCTTTGTTAAAATATCAAAACTCAGCTACTGTCTACACAAGCAATTATTTATTAACAAAGTTCAGTTTGTCAAGAGTTAGATAGAAATTGTTCAGACACAAAACCATATGCTCTCCAAACAAAACAAAATGTTATTTTTAAATTTCTATAATTTTGAATCTGCCACAAACTTGTCAGTGTCATACTGAAAGTAGAGAGCATTTGGATTAAATTTTTAGAAAGAATATGGTGAGTGAAAAATGATTGACAAATGAACAGTGATAATAGCAAAAAAAAAATTCTGAACTTTTCCATCTTATATTAGGTATCCCAACACTCAGCTTACAACCGATGAAATTCTTAACAGTAAAAAAATGCATATATTCAACTCACCGTGTTATTTCATTCAATATCTCCATAAAAACATAATGCATACCAAATAAAAGCTTATTTCATGAACTTTGTTTCTATCTTATTTATTTTTATATGTACTACAGTAATGAGGAACGTTGCAGTTTGAAAAATAGAGACATTTGGTGATTTTCAAAATTTTAGCCATTTTTTTTCACTGACGGCAATTTAGACTTCCTCACATTTTGTAACTTATGACTCCATGGTTTATTATAATTTTGGTAATACGTTAGTTCGAAAGTTAACATTCTAAGCTTCATTTTCATATATTTTCTATTTTTTGATTTTAATAAGTTTGTAAACAATTCAAATGAAAAGTTTGAGCGTAAAATTCAAATGAAAAGTTTGAGCGTAAAATTCAAATGCTTCTTGTAAAAGTAAAAATACGGAAAATATATCAATAAAACGCTCTATGAAACTAAATCAAAATCAAATATGAAACAATAGCACCATTTTGCATGTGTGCAATTATGTGTAACCATGTGCGACTCGCTCGGCCGTCGTTTCAACTCCACGCGAGACTCAATACACAGCGTCAACACGGACACAAAAGAATCAACCAGCATGTTTTCTATGGACGAAATTTTCAAGGAAATTGATAAGAATTTGTTTTAAATATTAATTTTCTATATGTAAAATGTAAATGGGATTTAAAAACACTTTTCGTCATAAAAAGTATGATACAAAAATCGATTTGT